ACAGCCTGCCGGAGATCGAAGTGTATGGGAGATATATCTGCTGCATGGTAGAAGATTCATAGTATGAAACATTGTTCGTTTCTTGATTGATTACCATTCCATAACATCTTGTGATCAATCAAAGTTGTACGAAAAACCATACAACTTGTGGACCAACCTAGTATTTTCCAAGTTAACGTTGATGACGAAAACGCACATCAAGAATTTACACCAATTGTAATCAATTTATATTCTCGCTTAGATACAACTTTTCCCAGTTTCTTAGACCGGTTTTCCATACCTCCATGACAATTTCCATTCACCTTTATTTGCTTTCTTAACTTCTGCAAATCTCGCAAAATGTTTCGAAAGCTGAAAACGCTGCAGCGATAGTGCTCAGAAGAGGTCTAGCTCTTCTTAAACGTTTCTCAATTCATCTCACTTTAGCCCAGTCTTACGTTTCTCATCTCACTATTCTGGGAAACTCACGCTCATGGTTATGCATGTTTATGATTAGTATAATTAGTTTACTTTGTACATCATAGCTGGTTTATATAACTGCTACTGGTCCTGGCAAGGAATGATTTTAGACTCAACTGCGGTCTGTGACTGTGGTTCCAGATGAGAAGGTGAGAGAGAGAGAGAGGAGGAAGGAGGAGAGGGAGAAGTGGGAGGAATGGAGGACGTAAACGCTACTAAGGATTCTTCACGTATGTGGCGCATGGGCCCAATGCCCTTTTTTGTTTGTTTTTTTTTGGCAACTGTTTGCTGAAGTTTGACAGCAAATCACCTACTCAATATTTTAAAATCTAAAAAGTTTAAAAAAGCGACACAGGCAATTAGAATGTGACCCACCCTTGAGTCTCGCGATTTCCAATGGATTAAGAACGGATTAAGGGCTGTTCTCAGTCCTGGCCTTCACCAATTTCTCCGGATGATGAAATATTCAGGTCTTGTATCAATTATGAGTTCAAGATTAGCCCGGTGCAGCTCTTCTCGTTGTCAAAAAAACAAAAATACTTTATACAATTCATTTCAAATGTTTCTTCATTTTCTTGAATGAAACCATAATTTATAAATTAGAGACGATACTTAAATGGCCTGTCTTCACTTGTCGTGCAGGTCACAGTACTGTTTCCATCCGTTTCTGTCTTTCACCAGCGTCATCCACGATGTTGGTATTGAACTGCGGCGGCAACGTTTGCGAGGTCCAGATCCAGTACTCGTTACGAGCTGAGAGTTCAGCTGGTCCAACCGTGCAACGAACACGTAAGCCTATCTGATCGGTGGCCTCCCTCGCGAACGTTTTGCTTCGCGAGGGATACATTCCATGGTTTTTAGTGTCCATCTGTTGTCTGTCCTTCTCATTATATGACCAGCCTATCGATGCTTTGCCTCAGAGACGTATTCCGCTGGACCGCGAAGACGAGACATTGATCTTATATCTGAAGTGCGAAGTCCGACGAGATGTTGAGTGCGTCGGTTGTACTTCAGAAGACGTCGTTCCGCGGTATAAGGATAGTTCGAAGAACCTTTGACATAGCCACAGTGTCAAGCCACGTCTCTTCTGCGTAACAGAGCGCAGGGAGAACGGTTGAATTGAACAGGTGAGCTCGAAGCTCTGGGTTCGCCAGTTGGTCTGTGGCTTCCTTTAGGGGGTAGGAGGTGGCCCAAGCTGCTCTTCGCCTCCTGTTTAGTTCTTCTTTCAGAACGTTCACCATGTTCATTGAACGCCCGAGGTATACGTAAGACGCCTCTGCGACTGGAGAGCCTTCTAATTCCATTTCCAAATCCTTGCAAAAAACATTCTTCATGAACTGAGTCTTCTTCCGATTAATTCGCATTCCTATCCGGCATCCCCACTTGGTTTAGTTCCTCAAACATAGCTTCCGCTTCAGTATTTCCCGAGAAGAGAACAATGTCGTACGCAAAACGAAGGTTCGAGAGGAATATCCCATCAACTCGTATACCTCTCTTGTTCCAATCCAGTGATCTCATCACCCACTGCAATGCCGCGGTAAACAGCTTTGGCGGCACGGTGTCGCCTTGTC